TAGCTCTGCTGGTGAATGTGATTGGCCAGTTTGGATCCTAGAGCTGAGAAAGGAACTAAAACCTGCTGATGAGCCGGGTGTTGGTGGCGCACGCCTTTAATCCCAGCACTCGGGAGGCAGAGGCAGGCAGATCTCTGTGAGTTCAAGACCAGCCTGGACTACCAAGTGAGTTCCAGGACAGCCTCCAAAGCCACAGAGAAACCCTGTCTCGAAAAACCAAAAAAAAAAAAACCTGCTGATGAAGAAGTTCTGTACCTGCTCCACACGGTACAGAGCTTGGGGGCTTTATTTACACATTCAGAGTAGGAGGGCAGCCTGCACTCAGACCATTATGCATTCCTGATTTTACCATAGTCTAGGTAGTACATAATCTTGAAGTTTTTTTTTTTTTTTTGCTTTTTCGAGTTTTAATATCAGCTGTGATAAATTAGGGTTCCTCTTCACCCTCCCTAGGATCTCACTCTCTAGTTCAGACTGGCCTGAAAATATGTAACCTAGCTTGGCCCTGAAGTCACAGTAATTCTGCTTCAACCTCACAGGAGCTGGAATTGCAGGTTTGAACTACCATGCATACTTGGTGCCCTCGGAGGCCAGAAGAGAATATTGGATCTTCTAAGATTGAAGTTCCAGGTGGTTGTAAGCTGTCATGTAGGTGCAGGGACTCGAACCTCCAGAGGAATGGGTTTTCTAGAAGAGTAACTGCCTGATTCTCTTAACTACTGAGCCATCTCTCCAACCTCTGAATAATTGACTTTTTTCTATGGAGTTTTACTATGTCATCCACACTGATTTCCAGTTTGTGGTTTTGAATAGTCTTTCCACCTTAAGCTCCTGAGTAGCTTGGACTATAGCCATGTGCCACCACACATATCTATGAATGACTTAATTCTTTTGCTGCTTTTTTTGTTTGTTTGTTTTTGTTTTATGAGACAGGGTTTCTCTGTATTTCTTTGGAGTTGTCCTGGAACTTGCTCTGTAAACCAGGCTGGCCTCGAACTCACAGAGATGCGCTTGCCTCTGCCTCCAGTGCTGGGATGAAAGGTGTGCGCCACCAACGCCCAGTGACTTAATTCTTTTGAAACAGATTTTTGCCAGGTGGTGGTGGTGCCCACTTTTAATCGAAGCACTTGGGAGGCAGAAGAAGGGGGAGTCTCTGAGTTCCAGGCCAGCCTGGTCTTATGGAGTGGCTTTCAGGACAGCCTGGGCTACATATAGAAACCAAAACCCTGTCTGGAAGAAAAAAGAAGAAACAGGTTTTCACTTTGTGGCCCAGGCTGGCCTCACACTCAGCAATCTTCCTGCATCAGCCACCTGAGTACTGGGGTTAACTCATCTTTCTGGTGGTTTGAATTGTTCTGAAGAGACAGCACTACATTCCCCAGGAAATAGGGACAGATAACTGTAAAGAGTCGTTTGAAATGAAGATAGAGGTGTAATAGAATAGGACAACAGGAAAATGAAGTGAGCAGAGTCGAATCTTCATGGAGACTGATGAAAATTAAATTTGTGATGGCTAAGAAAAACTTCACATAAGAACTTGCCCTGGGTGCAGAGACACAGTTTATCTGACAGTGGGCATTTAGTGCAGCAGTTTTGGTGGGGCTCTAGAATCTGGTCACAGAATGACAGCAATGTATTATGGACTTTGGGGGGTTTCGTTTGCCTTTTCTTGCCTTTTTTTTTTTTTTTTTTTTTTGTCTTTTGAGATAGGGTTTCTCTGTGTAATTGTCGTAGAACTCACTTCATAGATCAAGCTGACCTCAAATTCACAGGATCCACCCACCTGCCTCTGCATTCTGAGTGCTAGAATTAAAGGTGTGTGCCACCGTGCCTGGCTGGGTTTGGTTTTTCAACACTGGGTTTCTCTGTGTAAAACAGCGGTGGCTGTCCTGAAACTTGCTTTGTAGACCAGGCTGGCCTCGAACTCACAAACATCTGGAATTAAAGGCATGAGCTACCATACCCATCATATTATGACTTTTTTTAAGTTGAGAGGACATCTTCTGTTTCTAGAAAGTTAACAAATGGTGCTCCTGAGATATATAACAGCAACATGTTTGAGTTCTGAGGATAAAGAAAAACTCTGGACAAATGAGATGATAGTTCAGGTAAAAGTGCTTGGGACACAACCTACGCTCCTTTCCCCAAAGCCATGATGGAAGACAAAAACTGACTTTTGAAAGTTGTCCTCTGATCCCACATACCTGCCATGGTACATCCACTCTTACTCAAAAGCTCATCAATAACAATTTTTTAAAGATTTATTTATTACATATACAGTGTTCTGAGAAGAGGGCACCAAACTTTATTGCAGATGGTTGCAAGCCACTACTATGTGGTTGCTGGGAATTGAACTCAGGGCCTCTGGAAGAACAGGAAGCACTCTTAACCCCTGTGCCAACTCTCCAACCCCTCAATAATAGATTTTAAAAGGATAAGACACATTCTTAAAAGCATGAGGCAGAGAACTTGCTTTAAAGTGCTAAGCCAGCTCTGCCACGACTTTGAGAAGACAATGAGATAATGGAAGATAGGAAGAATTCTGCGAACGGGAAGGGTCTGGGAAAGCATTTTCACACAGGTCAGATGCTTAGAACTGTCTTCCCAGAGATTGGCCATGTGACAGATGGGGCCAAAGAAGGAATAGAAAATCCAGAGCCTAAATATTGACAATGATATTGAGACCAAGTTAACAGAATTGACAGAAACAACAAAACAAAAACCCAACAACTTATTTTTTTCTCTTTGACTTTTCGAGACAGGGTTTCTCTGTGTAGCCCTGGCTGTCCTGGAGCTTGCTCTGTGACCAGGCTGCCTCTGCTTCCCAAGTGCTGGTATTAAAGGCAAGCACCACCATTGTCCAGTCAAAAAACAACTTTAAAAAGAGTATGTGGGGCTGGAGAGATAGCTCAGTGGTTAAGAGCACTTATTCCTCTTCCAAAGGTCCTGAGTTCAATTCCCAGAACCCACTCACAACTGTTTGGTATTCTATTGTGACATGCAGATGTACATGCAGAGAAAGTATCCATATATATAAAATAAATAAATAAATCTTTTTTAAAAAAAGATGTGTGCTGAGTGTGATGGTGAACACCTTTAAACCCCATGCTTGGGAGGATGCAGAGGCACACACATCTCTGTGAGTTCAAGGCCAGAGTCCCAGGACAGATAGAGCTGTTATGTAGAGAAACCCTGTCTTGGGGGTGAGGGAGGGTGTTGTGTGGTGCTGGATGAAGCCCAGTAGGTTGACACTAACCCCATATTATACCATCCTCACCTAGCACTCTAGAGGCAGAGGCAAAGCTGATCTCTGATTTCAGGGCCATGGTGAATTCAGACTAGCAGGCAGCCAGGGCTACCTAGTGAGACCTTGTCTTCAAACAAAAGAGTGCTTGAGAGATGGCTTAGAAATTAAGAGCACTGACTGCTCTTCCAGAGAATCTGGGTTCAATTCCCAGCACCCAAATGGCAGCTCCCAACTGTGACTCGAATTCCAAGGAATCCAACACCCTCAAACAGAAGAAAAAATACCAATTCATATAAAAGTGAATTATTTAAAAAACCCTCACCATAACTCTTCAAAATATGTATAGTTGTGTGTCAATCAAAAATTTCCCTTGCCTGGCATGGTGGAACACACCTTTAAATCTTGCATGTCAGAGGCAGAAACAGGAGGATCTCTGATTTCGAGGCCAGCCTCGTCTACATAGTGAGTTCCAGGACAGCCAGGCTCTGTAGAGACCCTGCCTCAACTCCCCCTCCAAAGAAAATGAAAAATAATTTCTTTGGAGAGTCTTCCATCTTCCATCCTTTTCCTGTCGGCTCGCTGACAATGGTAGCAAAGTGGTTTTAGCTGTTTAAAGCAAGTGTGACATGCAGACACATTACCTCTCCGACTGACAATCGTTAGAACTGAAAGCAGGCATTCATTAAAGTCACCATAGGAAATGAAAACAATTAGAGGGGAAAAAAAACCACAAAAATAAAAGCTATGCCATAGGATGACTGAAAGCCAGAATCATCAGGTATCACAACAGGTATCATGAATTAAATCTCATAGCTTTTTGCTGAAGTCTGGGCCTAATTTGTGTCCCCATCTTCATCAAGTCAAGGCCATAGTTAATGCTGACTACTTCCTTCAGAAAGTCTTTCTGGGACTCATAGTCACTGTAGTATACTCCATGTGTGCTTGCCAAGGTGGTGATCTGAATCAAGATGAAGTATTTACACCATTCAGGCCTCTTTGGGATGGGGAAGGGGATTGTTAGTTTTACACTAGGCACTAGCACAAGGTGAAAACGTTCAACCCCATTGGGGTGTAAAATACGTATTTCCTGTAGTCACAAGTTTTAAATTGGTCAGTTTATTGACTCTTTCCTCCAGTGGTATCGTGACCACAGGTGCCTTCACACCCCGGGAACACCTTGCCGGTTTGAAGGATCGTAAAGTGTTTTTGTTGTTGTTGTTGTTTTTTCTTAAAATTTTATATGCATGGTTATTGCAGCCGCATATTTGTGAAGCACCCGCGGAGAGCAGAAGGTTTCGGATCCCTTTGAGCTAGTCACCATGTGGGTGCTGGAAATTAAACCCAGGTTCTATGTAAGTGCAACCAGGGTTCTTGGCCACTGAGCCATCTCTCCAGCCCCAGATTTGAAAGATTTTGGACGTCAACTGTACCGGGAATAACTGGTGCAGGAGTTGAATCAGAGTCCAAGTGGGGTTGTCCCCAAACCAAAGGCCTCATATTCTCTATTCAAGATGTGGGGTTCAGAGAGAGTGGGAGCCTGCTGGATTCTTTGGAGAGCAAAAACTGGGGGCTAACCCCAAGAATTTGGTATAGTGGTTAAAAGGGTCTGAGTATCTGTGCCACCAAATCTGTGGGGCAGGCCGGCCAGCACTTAAGGGACCAAAGGGGTTAAGGCACCGAGTCCCGCCTCCGTCCAGGATTGGTGGCTTCAGGGGGCGTGGCCGGAGGGCGGGCCCGCGTTTGCCGCAGCCGCTGGTGGGTGGGCCGGGCGCGGGACGGGAGGGGCCAAGAGCTGAGCCGGGCCGTGCCGCGCGCCCAGCGGGGCGGGCTTCGGGCTGCGCCAGAGAGTGGGGCTGCTGTCGCCGGTGTCTGAGCCTCTGCTCCGGACTCTGAGGCAGTGAGTAAGTGATACAGGCCTGCCGGGGCGCCCCTTCAGGTTCTTCTTCGGGTCACCATGCCCGCTGCATCGCGTGCCGCTTCTAGCCGGTGGGAAGCTGGGGAGGGGGTGCGTCCCGCTGCTAGGGTACCGGGAGTTGGGGGATGAGGCCGATGATGTCATGGACGCTTCACCCGGCAAGGGGGGGTGGCGGCCGGAGGGGGTGCGGCCCGGATTATGTCACCTCTTCTCTCTGCACCCCGCCCCCCCGGGGCCACACGCGTTGGTGGGGACCGAGGAAGATTTGGGTGGGATTTCTGCAACCGCAGAGACCTCTGTGACACCTTTGCAGAGGATTTGTGGCTGGGGTCTATGTGATAGTGAATATCGACCCTTCCCCCCCCCCCCCCGCCCTGCACACATACATGCACAGCAGAGGCAGGCTCCTGTGTGAGCGGGTGGGTGGGGGTGTGCTGTCAGTACCCTCAGCCCTTAAGCATGGGCTTCATCACAACCCGGATCCAGGGGATGGGCTTCCCTGTAGGTGTCCATGTTTCCAAGGGAAGATGAATCTCCTCTCATACATCCCAGCCAAGAAGTTCTGCTCCCTGAATCTCTTCCCTTGATCTTTCCTGGAAGCCCTTCCTGGTTTCTCTGTCTGAATTTATTTCCTATTTGCATTGCTCATAACCAATGTTCCCATATGCATTTGCCTTGCATTTTCTTGAGGCCCAGAGACCCTCTAAAAACATCCTTTATGGCCTGAGGTAACAGAGGCTTCCGATGGGGAAGCTACACAGTGAAATCTCCCCGGGGCATCCTGAGCTAAGTGCTCCAAGGGTACCCCTAGGGTATCAAGGCTATGCTGAGAAGCAGTATCTGGACTGGTTCCAGAAGAATATAACATGGGCAGAGAGCTGAGATTGGTTGTATGTGAAGAGCTCATGTCAGGAGGGATACGGGATGGCTATCAGGAGAGGCCTTAAGGACTCTGCTCCAGCCTCTACTTGGTGGTGGGTGCCAGAAAGGACCCAGGCATTTGACACACACTGTGTTTCCTTCTTTAAATTGCTGTGAGGTAGGTGGGAGAGTCTGAGGTGGAACAATCTGGGTAAGGTTCCATTCCTAATCATTTGAGCTGTGATTTACACCTGGAGCCGATACTGCTAGAACTCTGTTGCCCTGCTCATGGAAGGGTTTAGCCAGAGTCCATCTGACACCTTTGACCACTAGTATTGTAACATCACAGGCACTGAGGTTGATGGAACGGAAACAGAGTCAGGCTCAGGGAATGGACTGTCATCCCAGAGTGATGCTGTTCAACCGCCCCTGGAGATTACTGTTGCCTAGGGCCAGTCCAGGAGCCTGACCGCAGTGGGAGCTCCTTCCTCTCCCCTCAGTTCCTGCTTACAGGGAAGTGCACTCCCCTCCTTGTTCTTCCAGTTCTCTATCGCTGTTTTGAGGAAAGAATTCACAGGAGCTCGAGGTAGGAAGAGGCAAAGGACAGGGAGTGGTTACAAGAGGTTGACCGTGACAGGCTAGATTGGGGGCAGGGAACTCTATGGGAATTGCCTACCAAGCAGTCCTCGCGTGGAGCATGAGAAGGGTGGCTCAGGACAAAGTCTAGGACCCTAAGCATCTGAATTTGACAAGGAGTCACTCCAGAGGAAGAGTAAGGCAGGGTGACTCATGACCACCTCCAAACTATGGTCTCATTCTCCTTCCTTGGAACCCAGAAAGAAATGCGCTCTGCAGTTATTTATAAAGCATCTTCCCAAACATTCATTACGTTATTCCCTGTCACTCAAAATCAACATGGTCACTCCTGTAGTTTGTCCCTCCCTCCACCCCAGCCTCTGGTGCAGCTCCCTTGCTAGTACTCACTAGCAGTATCTGCCTTCAGTGTTTCTATCAAGTTTTTAATTCCTATCAGAATTCTAGTTTTTGGTGAAGTGTATGCATGCACAGAGAGGGATGGTGGGTGTCCTGCTCCATCACTCTCTGCCTCATTCGCTTGAGACAGGGTCTCTCACCGAACCTGGAATTAGGCTGGCAGGGAGCAAATGTCAGCAGCCCCCCGTCCTTTGCCCTCCATAGTGCTGAGGTCACAGGCACTGGCACAGCCACAACTGGCTTTTTATGGGCTGCTGGGGATTCAAACTCAGGTTCTCATGCTCATGTAGCAGGTGCTCTTACTCACTGAGCCATCTCCCCAGCATGTTTTATTATTATATTTCCCGGGTTTTGTTTTTGAGACAGGATCTAATGTAGCCTGGACCTGGCTCAAACTCAGTATGTCTTCAAGGCAGGCCTTGAACTCTTGGTCTTCCTGCCTCTGCCTTCATGCCACCACATCCAGCTTTTAGGGTTAATTTTAAAATAAAAAGTTCTTTGGTTCCAAACATTTTGTTTAGTTTTGTTGTTTGAGACAACTCTGTAGCTTTGGAACCTGTCCTGTACCAGGCTGGCTTCAAACTCACAGAGATCCACCTGTCTCCCGAGTGCTGGGATTAAAGGCGTGCGCCACCAACGCCTGGCTTCCTTTTTCTTTTCAACACTAGAAACTGCCCTTGTATCCTTTCCCCCTTTTCCCTCCCTGTCTGTCTCTCTCATTTTATTTTCTTTGTTTTTTAAGATGGAATCTCACTTGGTTCTCAGAGTTGTATCAAATTTCTGGGCTCAAGTGATCCCCCCCCAAGTAGCCCAGGCTGCCCCACTGCTCCCCTTGCCTGCATTTCTTCCTTCTCACCCTCCTCTTCTTCCTGACTTTTTTTTGTGTGCTAGGGATTGAATCTAGGGTGTTGCTCTTGCTAGGGAAGTAGTCAGCCACTGATCACTTTTTGTGCTTTAACATGGGGTCTCACTAAATTGCTCAGGCTGGCCTTGAATTTGTAAGCTTTGTTTTAGAATCTGGAGTAGAAGAGATTATGGGCCCACCTCCAGACTGGTTAGTGCCCCTGTTTTGAATCCCCTCCCCATTTTGGCTTTCAGGCATAGTGTCTCTTGGACTTTCCCTGCTCCCACACCACCACCCAGACTTATGGGGCTCTACCAACCTTGCTGGCTGCTAGGCCCACCCACACCACTCTGACAGAGATGCTGACAATCTCTGTCTTTCCACCCTGTAAAAGGTATCTTTGGGTCTTCTCAAAAACACCTAAGCAATCTGTCCCTGTCATGTTAATGCTGTCACACCCACACTGGTGCCCTAGCCTCTTCTCATGCCCCCCACCTGAGCTCCAGCTGCATGAGGGTTTGCCAGTTCTTCCTGTAACCATGCTCAGACCTCCCTGTTGGCTTCAAGCCTTGGGCCATTCAGTCTTCACCCTGCCTGCCCCAGCTATTCTCTGCATTGAACTCAATGAGGACGAGAGAGGGGGGCGATGCCTAGGGTGGGGGGGTGGTGGGGGGGGTTTCAAGGTTGAGAGCTAGCAGGCGAGAGCATCTCCCAAGCGGAGGCAGCAGGAGCTCGGGTGAGGCAAAAGAGGCTGAGGGCACAAATGCACTGCAATGGGATGGCACACCTGTTCATCCTGCACCTCAGCGTTCCCCTAGGTGCTTCTCTTGCTCAGTGTCAGGCTGCACACGGGTACAGAATGACCAAAATGAGGAGGGTGGCAGCTCTGTTGTTTTCCATGCTTGTGGGGGTAGGCACTGAATGAATTTCCACAATGTCGGTGACCAGCTTGCTAGTGAACGTAGCTACTACCAAGAGCCACAATGTATATTGTGGCAGAAAAAATTGAAGGGCACATGCGTTGACAGCCTCCCTAGGTTTGGAGCCCGACAGGAAGGATGCAGTATTAGCATTGGGCATCAGGGTAGAAGGAGGTCTGCAGAGCAGTCAAGGGAAAACCCATGGACCTCTTAATTTTAATTGGAAAAGGGGTGCTTTGCCTGCTTTCTGGGGTTTACAGGCCTGAAGAGCATCCCTCTTTCATAACTGAGACACATATTTGAGTTATTAGAGCCTCATGCCAGGGACTGGGATTTGCCTGGTATCCCTGCCCACCTGTATTATCCAGATCTCCGGGACAGGTGTTCCAGGGTGCTGACTTGAGACAAAAGAACCAGGAAGCAAGCGAGGCCTCTTTGAGCAGGAGGCCTTGCTCCCCCTTCTGTGGGGAAGCTTTGAGGGAGAGCACACCCAACAGAACTGGCTTAGAGGACTTCATGGTCAACTGAACGGGTCAAGGTCCAAAGGGAAGGGGGTGTGGAGGAATAGCTAATCCAAAACTCTTCCTGGTGGTACTGCATTCTTAGCAGGGTTCAACAGGCTTGGAATTCTCAGGGGTCATCATCACTAGTTGCGCAAGTCCTGCCCCTCCTTCATGCACCTGTGGGAAAAGCCAGGAGGGAGGAGCTGGCAGCTGGTACTGCGTCCCTGCCCCGGTCTCTGCCAGTTTAGGGACTGCTGCGGAGTACTGATCTCAGAGAGTGAGGCACTCTGGGGCCATGCCCCCACGAGGCCAAGTTAGAAAAACCTCCGGGAAGGCTCCCTTGCCACCTGCTGCAGCGGCAGCGGGTGTACGTCTGTCTGCACAACCACGGCTCCGCCCACTGGCGACCTTGGCGCAGGCCGCAGCAGCTCCGCCCACCCAACTCCAAGACTGGCTTCTTTCCCTTGCCTGCCGCCTCCAGGCACCTGGCGTGCGGCAGCTCGGTTTTTTAATTCTTCCCATTTCGCAGAGGAGAAAACTATAGCACGGGATGGCTTGGTCGGCTAGTCCAAAGTCACGCAACTGGTTCGGGCCTAGCCCGGATTTCCACAGTGAGCCACATGGCCCCTGCAGACTCGGCCTCGGAGGGTCCCAAGCCTGAGGACCCGCCAGTGCACCACCTCTTTGGAAAGGTAAGGAGAGATGTCTCTCCTGTAGTTAGCTTTCACCTTGTTTACCATCTTAGATCCACAGCCGTGAAAGACCCGCACTGTCTGCTCTTTTATATAGGGTTATTGTGTCTCTCCTTTAACCTCTGGGGCTCCCTATTGGATTCGGGTACCGCTGTCCTCAACCAGACCCATGTTCCCAGTCCAGGAAGCTGGAATATAGGAATCATGACCCGGGGTCAATTTAGTGACAACTAAACTGAGTGTTGTAGCAGTTAAATCACTGAGTCTGGGAGGCTCATGGGTGGGGTGGGGTTAAGTAGTGACCCCCCCCTCCAAGAAGGTATGTGCATGGCACCTTGGGAGTCTGTTTTCTCTGCTGTCCGCTGTAAGGAACACAGACAAAGTGGGACCCAGGCCGACTGGCTGGGGATGGATTCTGACCCCGTTACCTTCCCGCTTGTACCTACAGTGCCCTTCTGACTCAGTCATGGCGAAGCTGGAGACCTTACCTGTGCGTGCTGATCCAGGGAGGGACCCTCTCCTGGCCTTTGCCCCCCGGCCTTCTGAGCTTGGACCCCCAGATCCCCGCCTGACTGTGGGTAGTGGGGTTACCCATGCCCAGGAGTTTCCTATGAAAAGCGTGGGCACTCGAACAGGGGGTGGAGGCAGCCAGGGCAGTTTCCCTGGTCCAAGAAGCAGCGGCAGTGGACCCAGCAGGGAGAGACCTGGCCGCTACCCATCGGAGGACAAGGTTCTCGCCAACTCTCTCTACCTCAATGGCGAGCTGCGGGGCAGCGACCACACAGACGTCTGTGGTAATGTGGTGGGCAGCAGTGGGGGCAGCAGCAGCAGTGGGGGCAGCGACAAGGTTCCACCACAATACCGTGAACCCGGCCACCCACCCAAGCTCCTGACCACCTCTGGCAAGCTAGACCAGGTTAGTCCCCAGGACCTGAGAGCCCCATAGCCTGCTTTAGAGTGGGGGGGGTAACCAAGAGGTGAGGTTAAGGTGGGGCTTCTTAGGGGAAGTATGGGAGCCTGGATGAAAGCCATTGTGGGCAGTTGTGGAGTGCAATCCTGCAGCTAAGTCTCACTTGTGGATCTAGGACAGAGATGCCTTGTGGGAGACTCGAGGTAGAGCCTCAGAAGGGGAGACTTGGTTTGGAGAGCTACATGGGGCTAGGAGGCAGTTCTTGAACAAGTCTTGGATATAAGGAAGAGGAGGGGCCAAGGATAAGTTCTCAGTCTGATGCCTCTCCCTCCCTCCCCCTTCCTTTTACGCAGTGCTCAGAGCCACTAGTTCGGCCATCAGCCTTCAAGCCTGTTGTACCCAAGAACTTTCATTCCATGCAGAACTTGTGTCCTCCACAGACCAACGGGACCCCTGAGGGACGACAGGGCCCTGCTGGCCTCAAGGGCGGACTGGACAAGTCTCGGACCATGACCCCCGCGGGTGGGAGTGGGGGTGGCCTCTCAGACTCAGGCCGGAACTCACTCACAAGCTTGCCTACCTATAGTTCCAGCTATAGCCAGCACCTGGCACCTCTCAGTGCTTCCACCAGCCATATCAACCGTATTGGCACTGCTGCCTATGGTAGTAGCGGCAGCGGTGGGGGGTCAGGTTACCAAGACCTGGGGACCTCTGACAGCGGGAGGGCCTCCAGTAAGAGTGGGTCATCATCATCCATGGGGCGGCCAGGCCACCTGGGATCTGGGGAGGGTGGAAGCGGGGGCCTGCCGTTTGCAGCCTGTTCACCACCCTCGCCCAGTGCACTGATCCAGGAGTTGGAGGAGCGGCTGTGGGAGAAGGAGCAGGAGGTGGCGGCTCTGCGGCGCAGCCTGGAACAGAGTGAGGCGGCCGTGGCCCAGGTGTTGGAGGAGCGACAGAAGGCATGGGAACGGGAGCTAGCTGAGCTCCGGCAGGGCTGCAGCGGAAAGCTGCAGCAGGTGGCCCGCCGCGCCCAGCGTGCCCAGCAGGGCCTCCAGCTGCAGGTGCTGCGGCTACAGCAGGACAAGAAGCAGCTGCAGGAGGAGGCAGCCCAGCTGATGCGGCAGCGGGAAGAGCTAGAGGACAAGGTGGCCGCCTGCCAGAAGGAGCAGGCCGACTTCCTGCCCCGGATGGAGGAAACTAAGTGGGAGGTGCGGGCTGGGGGCTTAGACCTTTCCTCTCTGGCTCCCTTTCAACTCCTCTTCCACCGGAGACCCCAGAGTAGCCACGTACTACTGGGTAGTGGAGGGAGTTTGAAAGAAGTAGGGCGAAATCAATTCAGAGTGTCTATGAGAACAGAGGCTGCCCTTGAACTGTATCGGATCAGATCTGTCCCCAGTAAGGCAGGCAGCCTCAGGTGGGGCTGAGTCAGAGGCCAGGGGAAGCTCCATGTCTCTGGAGCTAGAGCTGGGAGCTGGGTTGAGAAAAGCCTTTCCGCCCCCGGCTCTGCCTTTACTCTGGCTTCTGCTTCCACCTGTCCCTGTCCAGGTGTGCCAGAAGGCCGGTGAGATTTCCCTCCTGAAGCAGCAACTGAAGGACTCGCAGGCTGATGTGTCGCAGAAGTTGAGTGAGATCGTGGGACTGCGCTCACAGCTTCGGGAGGGTAGGGCCTCGCTCCGGGAGAAGGAGGAACAACTGCTCAGCTTAAGGGACTCCTTCGGCAGCAAGCAGGCCAGCCTGGAGCTGAGTGAAGGCGAGTTGCCCACTGCCTGCCTCAACCCTGCGCTGACCCCTGTGGACCTGGCCGAGCCACAGGAGGCACTGGCCTCCTGCGAGAGTGATGAGGCCAAGATGCGCCGGCAGGCTGGGGTGGCAGCGGCTGCTTCCCTGGCTTCTGTTGATGGGGAAGTGGATGCTGGGGGGGGGGGGGACACGGGCCCTGCGCAGGGAGGTAGGGAGACTGCAGGCAGAGCTGGCTGCTGAGAGGCGTGCTAGGGAGCGCCAGGGCGCCAGCTTTGCAGAGGAGCGCCGGGTGTGGTTGGAGGAGAAGGAGAAGGTCATCGAGTACCAGAAGCAGCTCCAACTGAGTTACGTGGAGATGTACCAGCGCAACCAGCAGCTGGAGCGGCGACTTCGGGAGCGTGGGTCAGCAGGGGGTGCCAGCACACCTACTCCCCAGCATGGCGAGGAGAAGAAAGCCTGGACTCCCTCCCGCCTCGAGCGCATCGAGTCCACAGAAATCTGATTCTCTATCTGCGTGCACAACCTTCTGACAAGTACCCAGTCTGAAGGTCGGAGTCACCAACGTCCCCTTCCATCCATTTCCCTTCCCCGTGTGTGCTGCATATCCCCAGACCAAAGAGGTTCTCAAAGCAGCTGTGACCAGCCCCGTTATCCCGTCCATGCAGCTCCAGCACTGCCTTTGTGGATAGCCACTCCAGACCCTCCTGCTAAGGAGAGCGTGGGGGAGGGCAGAGTGCATGGGGGTGAGGTCCCAGGTGCAGGAAGCATGCTCCTTTTCTGGGAAGCCCCTTGTTGGAGATGGAGGCAGCAGGTTTGCATTGCCAGGAAGTTCCCCAGCCTCGTTTCCGGATCTTGGGCCACCGTTGCTGGCCGCCTTGTGTCCAATGCTATTGTCCGTACTCTCCTCCTAGGCCACACAGCCTGAAGGAGCCTGCGTGGGTCTACCAATGCTGACAGACCCTAGGCTCCTGGTCTCTCTCCTTCATGTGGTGTTCTCCTTCCCCAAGCAGATAGCAGAAGTAGGAGCAGATGGCCTGCCTGTGGTTGAGAGGGCTACCTGCTCAACCCCCAGCAAGGTATCTGGCTCAGGCCTTAGAGCCTGTGCTAGTCCTGAGCATGTGTCCCTCTGTGTATATTGAGGGAGGTGAGAATTGGGGCTGGAAGCTCATTACCCAGGGTAGATCTGCCCTCCTATTCTTGGAAAGGGAAGGGTCACCTGGAGGCTTCTCTGCTCCCCCCTCTGGCCAGGATCATACAAGGCTGTATCCCCCTGCTACTTGGTTGACCCCACCCTACCCAAGGTCAGTGTTCAGCTCTAATTATAGCTATGAAGTGCTACCTGCCTCTTAGGTATTCCGTTTGCCCCATTTCTGAGGTCAGATGGATGCCTGCTGTCTTCTTGTGTTTTCCCTCCCTGTCTCCCCCAGCCTTCTGCTTTCACGCTCACATCATCTTCCCAGGCTGCCTTTTCTTCCAAGTCTCACCTTTTCTCCCAGCAGAAAGCTCTGCTTGATTTTTGGTGCAATGCTCACTTCCCAGCTCCACTGGCCCAAATCTGAACCTGGGCCCCTTGTTGAGAGGGGCCAGTCAGGATTGGATGTGACTACCCCTGAAGAACAAGGCTAACATTTGAGGATCACCCTTTGGTTGCTTGTCAGACTCTTGAGTTGGCTCATTTGTCCGGGCAAGGATGGCTGGGATGGTTAGGACAGTCGATGTCCTTATCTAGGATCTCTCAGAGTCTATCTCCCCAAGACAGGCAGGGAAATTCTAATTTCTCTTTTAAGAAAGAAAATTTCTAATTCACCAGCAATAACAATCAGAGGAGACTTGGCCCTCAGTCCTTGTATTTCTCCTTTTCACCCCCTCTTCCAGCCCCAAGATGGAATTTTGGGGTCGGGATGGAGAGGGTTGGTAACTACTGTGAGCAAGTCCCCCAAGCCCTGACCAGCCTCGTCCCACGACTGGTGACTGTTTAACACGCTGTGCACCCCCACAAAAACAGGAGTGCCCTATTTATGGCCTCCAATCCTCCGCACAGCTCCTTCTGGGTGGTCCTCAACAGGTTTTTTACCTTGAATGGAGGCCACTCTGGCAATCACTGCCCACGCCTCGAATCCCTCACTGCACCTGCTCCAGACCCTGAGCCTGGTCCACAGGGACTGGGAGAAGGCATCAACACAAAACAAAACAGAGATGGGGGAGAAAAAATATGAACAGCTTTGGAATGTCCAACCACAAAATAAATTATATATGAATATATAAATATAAATATATATATATATCATATGTGATGGAAAGACTTTTCATTTTCCTTTCCCAAAGAAATAAAATGGAGAAGCCTCTTAAATGGCATTCTGTGGCCAGCTTGTATCTTTGCAAGTATGGGAGGTAAGGCTTGGGGGCTCAGACAATGCTGGAACAAACGGTCTCCAGAGGAGGCATGGGACCAGAGAACCTCGTTGTGCTATGCAAAGACTGGCTCAAAGCTCAAGTCTTCCATGTTTGTCGGCAGTCATGGTTCTACCTTTCCTACCAATGGGGGTAGGGGTGGGAAGGTTTCCTTTTCAACTCAGGCTGCTAGCACAGTTGCCAGCGGGCTCTAGCTCAGGAACTGTACACTAGGCTGCTGTCTAGAAGGCAGGTGATATGGGACAGCTAGGTGCAGCCTGCAGTCACTTAAAACACCCCACAGTGAGTAGCAGACACCCATGCATGCAGTATGGTGACCTGTCCTTTATGGTAGCTCCTTCCATCCTCCTCACAAAGCCTCACAGGAAAAAAATGTAGTTTTCTGTAAACATCACAACCAGATCTACACTTTTTAAGAGTGGTTGGTTTTCCCTTCACCCAACAACTCGAGAGAAAGGTGTCACAGATACTGGTTCCTTGTGGATCTAGAGCAGCAACTCTCAACCTGTGGGTTGTGACCTCTTGGGGTTGAACAACCCTTTCTTCGTGGTAGCATGTCAGATTTACGTTAAGATTCATAACAGTAGCAAAATTGCTACAGTTCTGAAGTAGCAACGAATACAGTCTAATGGTTGGGGACCAGCACAGCTGCATTAAAGGGCTGCCGCGTTAGGGAGGTTGAGAAACACTGCTCTAGAGTGTGTTCTAGCTTGTAGTCCTCACACTCTCCCACCATGCCTGTTTCCTCTGCGCCGCACAGTGGCACAGCTCAGCTTCATTCGCAGCCCTTTATCATGATAGCAGAGATTTCCCAGGCAGGGGTGGCGCCTGTGATCCACTCTGTCCCGACCTGCAGGACGGCAACCTGGAGCAAGAGACCTAAGGACCGGGGATGGGGACAAGAAGACAGGAAGGAATGACCACACGACAAGCAGCTGATCATGTGGCAATTTTTATTTTTCTCAGGGCAGTTAATATACTTGGTAGAGCAGGAGAAGGGGAGGGGGTTAGAGAGGGTTGCTTTGCGCACCAGGTGTGCACGTAGCAGGGCATTGTTTAAGCACATAGAGCAGGATATTGGCAAGGTAAGAAGTTCAGGAGGGAGAGGAATGGGTGGGCTATGGCTGTTGTCTTGGTGATGGTTAGGGTTGGCTGGGTTTGGACAGCTTTCTGGGTCATGTCGTTCCTATGTTCTACCTATGCTGTTTCTCTTCTGAGTACCCCCAGAAGGCTCCTTTGTTAAGGCTAAAGGGCAATTACGTAAATCTTTAGACTTTATAAAGTACAGGTTTGGCTCCAAAAGATCAAGGTACCTGAGGCGCTCCTAACACCACCCCAGCACTCCCACCTGTGATCCACCCCAGCACAAACACCTGTGATCCACCCCAGCACTTCCACCTGTGATCCACCCCAGCACACGCACCTGTGATCCACCCCAGCACATGCACCTGTGATCGACCCCAGCACAAGCACCTGTGATCCACCTCAGCACAAGCACCTGTGATCCACCCCAGCACACGCACCTGTGATCCACCCCAGCACACGCACCTGTGATCCACCCCAGCACTCCCACCTGTGATCCACCCCAGCACAAGCACCTGTGATCCACCCCAGCACACACACCTGTGATCCACCCCAGCACACACACCTGTGATCCACCCTAGCACTCCCACCTATGATCCACCCCAGCACATACACCTGTGATCCACCCCAGCACAAGCACCTGTGATCCACCTCAGCACAAGCACCTGTGATCCACCCCAGCACACGCACCTGTGATCCACCCCAGCACACGCACCTGTGATCCACCCCAGCACTCCCACCTGTGATCCACCCCAGCACAAGCACCTGTGATTCACCCCAGCACACGCACCTGTGATCCACCCCAACACAAGCACCTGTGATCCACCCCAGCACAAGCACCTGTGATACACCTCAGCACAAGCACCTGTGATCCACCCCAGCACACGCACCTGTGATCCACCCCAGCACATGGACCTGTGATCCACACCAGCACTCCCACCTGTGATCCACCCCAGCACATGCACCTGTGATCCACCCCAGCACATGCACCTGTGATCCACCCCAGAACACCCACCTGTGATCCGCCCCAGCACTCCCACCTGTGATCCACCCCAGCACACGCACCTGTGATCCACCCCAGCACACGCACCTGTGATCCACCCCAGCACATGTACCTGTGATCCACCCCAGCACAAGCACCTGTGATCCACCCCAGCACACGCACCTGTGATCCACCCCAGCACTCCCACCTGTGATCCACCCCAGCACAAGCACCTGTGATCCACCTCAGCACAAGCACCTGTGATCCACCCCAGCACATGCACCTGTGATCCACCCCAGCACATGCACCTGTGATCCACCCCAGCACAAGCACCTGTGATCCACCTCAGCACAAGCACCTGTGATCCACCCCAGCACACGCACCTGTGATCCACCCCAGCACACGCACCTGTGATCCACCCCAGCACTCCCACCTGTGATCCACCCCAGCACAAGCACCTGTGATTCACCCCAGCACACGCACCTGTGATCCACCCCAGCACAAGCACCTGTGATCCACCCCAGCACTCCCACCTGTGATCCACACCAGCACTCCCACCTGTGATCCACCCCAGCACATGCACGTGTGATCCACCCCAGCACATCCACCTGTGATCCACCCCAGAACACCCACCTGTGATCTACCCCAGCACTCCCACCTGTGATCCACCCCAGCACACGCACCTGTGATCCACCCCAGCACATGTACCTGTGATCCACCCCAGCACAAGCACCTGTGATCCACCCCAGCACACGCACCTGTGATCCACCCCAGCACACGCACCTGTGATCCACCCCAGCACAAGCACCTGTGATCCACCCCAGCACACACACCTGTGATCCACCCCAGCACAAGCACCTGTGATCCACCCCAGCACATGCACCTGTGATCCACCCCAGCACATGCACCTGGGATCCACCCAGCACATGCACCTGTGATCCACCCCAGCACAAGCACCTGTGATCCATCCCAGCACACACACCTGTGATCCACCCCAGCACAAGCACCTGTGATCCACCCCAGCACTCCCACATGTGATCCACCCCAGCACAAACACCTGTGATCCACCCCAGCACATGCACCTGTGATCCACCCCAGCACAAACACCTGTGATCCACCCCAGCACTAGGGAGGCAGAGCTGGGCGGATCTCTGTGAGTTTGATGCCAGCCTGGTCTACAGATCGAGTTCCAGGACAGTCAAGGCTGTTTGGTACACAGAAAAACCCTGTCTTGGAGGAAAAAAATTGAAGTTTTTCTGAGGCAGCACATACTTTCAATCCCAGCATTTAAATCTCTGAGTTGAAGGTCAACCTAGTCTACATAGTGAGTTCCACAACAGTGAGGGCTGTATAGTGAGACCCTATCTCAAACAAAAGCAAAATTAACAAATGCTGGTACTTTAAAAAAAAAAGTTCCTGCCGGCCGGTGGTGGCACAGGCCTTTAATTCCAGCACTCAGGAGACAGAGGCAGGCGGATCTCTGTGAATTTGAGGCCAGCCTGGTGTACAGAGTGAGTTCCAGGACGGCCTCGAAAGCCACAGAGAAACCCTGTCTCAAACTGCCCGCCCCCAAAACAAAGTTTCTGTGGGCTGGAGAAATGCCTCAATCAATAAAGAGCCTGCCATACTGGCTTGTGAACCTGAGCTTGGGTTTCCAGCACCCACATAATGGCAGGCCCTGCGGCCCTGACTGTGTCTGTAATCCCAACACAGGGGCCACCAGAATACGGGCGGGTCCCTGGTTTTCAGTGGCAAGCCTGTACACTGAACCTGAATCTGAGCTCCAGTTTCAGTGAGAGACACTGTCTCAAAAAGTAAGGAGGAGAGTGACTGAGAAAGACACCCGATGCCTTTCTGATGACTACTGGCCTACACACACACACACACACACACACACACACACACACACACACACACACACCAACAAAAGTTCCTAGAATCATGCCATAAATCTTCTCCTTCCGGTTCTGTTGGCTAGAGCTGGGCCATAAGCTGCTCTCACTTCAAAGAAGATTAGGAAACAGTATTTGCCAAAGAGAAACTGGGCTATCATAGCTGCCCAGGAGCAATCAAAGTTTTGTCCCCTAGGTGTGGGATTGTTCACTCTGGAGTTTGCAGGCAGGTTGTAATCAGGTAAGTGAATGAAAAGAAGAGAAACGAAAGAATATGGCTGCTCCTAGGTACAGTAGAAAAGAACGTTTATTGTGGATAAAAGGGAGACATAATCAGAGGCAGGGATGTCTGGGAGAGCCCAGAGTGGTGGGCGTGATCCTGAGTCACATGAGGAGAGGGAAGAGGGTAGTGGTGGGGAGACCAGGTGCAGCAGCCAGGAGGCCCAAAAGAGAGCAGACAAAAAGGGACCAGGTAACCAAATCGGTTGACTATATAGGGAGGGGTAGGTGGGGGAAGAGCAGTCCAGCTGCTGTGTTGAAGAAGTTTCCAGCAGGGGGTGAGGGATGCAAACCAAGAGGACCCTGTAACAGGTAGGGGCTGAGGGATGCTGGGAGAACCTGGCAGCTAGGTCCGCTTTGATATGTTAAATAGGCACTTCTACCTTTTGGTCGCTGGTTTGAACCCTAACAGCAAGTAGCCCCTGACCAGTATAAACCATGCTACCAATGGTCTAAGGGCACACATGTTCACACCAGGCAAACTGCCGTACAGAGAACTCAGAAGCTGGGATGCTGGGCTGGCACTTTTGTCACAATCTCTTCCAATGTCCTTGTCTCCCCATCAGTGCCCGGGAGGGAGTATGATGTCTCAGTCCTCCTTCACATCTTTTAACGTAGATGGCAGTCTGGGACCAGGCCTTCCTGCTACAAAGGGCTTGATAGAATCTCTTCAGCCCAGACGTGAGGCCCTCCTAAGAGATGTACAA